AAAGGAAGCAGTGTGTCTTAATTAAGACAACTGAAAATTAAAAAGAAAAAAAAAGCTTAACCTATATCAACAAAATTCTTACAACTGAATGAAACTGCTTTTGATTGGGAAAAATTCAGCAATTCACTCTTTGGAAGATACTTAGCCAAAAAAAAAAAAAAAAAAAAAATCTGCCAAACAAGAATTATTAAGGGAACATCACAAGGAATGCATATAGCATCTTGCAGTGGCACATTAAGCAGCATTACCTACAGGCACTGATCCCAGGTCTTCCACCTTCTGGACTTGGAACACTTCATCTCCAGAAACCTTCAGCAAAACATAATTAATTGTCAGGGAGAGGGGAGTCAAGGATCTTTTTCTTCAGATAAAAAGTTAACAACTAGCAATGTTGATTCTGCCACATAGAAAGTCTTCAAACAAAGGCAATAGAGAAAATTAATTGCTTCCCTTGTTTACGACATTATCTTATAGACCTCTTGCATGTAACTGTTAGTGTGGTTTCAATATAACCCCTCCAGTAACTTGAAGTCTGTGACTATGAATACCAGAACACAAACCAAAGTGATTACATAGCTATTTCAGAGGGCAACAGTGCTACATAATCAGCTTACACTGACAAGTCAAATCTTTTGCACCAGTCATTTCTAAACGTCAGCACCATGCTCTTAGGTGCATTGCTGTATTTGGCAAAAGAAATGTCTAAGGTTTTAATACTACTGTTCTCTTTTTTAAGCCGTTTTAAAGCAGAATTAGGTGCTCTATACTTAAGATTTATGGAGACGTGCATGATTTTGAAGCATTGTAACACCACATGTGTGTACTACCACTTGTAAAGCGCTTCATTTGAAAAAATTAAGTTCCTTGAGCTTTTTTTAAGCATTTGAATTTCAAGACGCATTGATGTACATGTGCAAGTCACAGCTTGCTTCATTTCACTTTTCCAGAGAAAAGAAAGCATGCTAGATCAGATTCTGCCCTCACCTGCACTTCTGCAACTCCCATTACATGGAATAGCTGTTTATAAACTAGTTACATTTGACTGCAGAAATCTCAGATGTTTGTGAAACCAGAGCCATGTGGTGTCCCAAAGCATTAGTTCAGACTGTTGGCTTTCTTAATTTTTTGTGCTTACGTATCTTCTCCACACAACCTGAGTGGATCAGAGTAGTAGTAATTCATTATTATGAAGGCTGTAGTAGAACAGGATGGAAGTTTTATGTCTTGCTTCCTTGAAGGGGAAACGGAATTCCAGCAGAAGTGTGCTTTTGGAATTAAACTGCCTCTATGCTATGAATATATTATTTATTTTTTAATTAAAAAGACCAAATAACAGACACATTCTGCTTTTGGTACTAAATATTCAATTTACATATTCCATGCAGCTCTACATATAGACCCAGACAACCAGAGTCTGGTTTAGGTCATCAGTAACAACCTAATAATCTATAGCCTTTCCCTTGTATGTATTTGAACTACAAAGACTCAGGAACTGATGATTTTATTCAAGCAAAGGTTCTTATCTGAGAAGTTCATTCCTTAACAAAATCCTGCCATGACTGAAAAGCCAGAGGGGTTAGCACCACCATCTGGAACAGTACAGGCAGTGAAAGATTCATCTTGTAAGAGTAGCTTAGAGCCTCCAGCAAGGTGTTTTCCACACCAAAACCTTATTATCCCTTTTTTTTTTTTTTTTTTTAATTTGGAGACGTTTTTCTTTCAAGAAAACTAAATTACAGTTGAACAACAGCAAAGTAAACATAAGAGTTCCAAGGGTGTTCTTCCATTTCAATCCACTGTTATGGTCTTTCTGAAGAAAGTCAATTTCAATTTTAGCATGTCTGAAGATGAATTCTTCCATTTAGTTTCCTCCCAAATTAACATAATAGACAATTATCTTCATATATTCAAAAAATATTTTCTAAATCCCATCTTAAAGGACTAAAGTTAATACTTTGCATTAATGAACTCATTAAAACATAAAACATTATGGCAATTCTAAAATGATAATTGTTTTATGACCTCATAAGGATGCACTTCTAGAGAAACTATGTATTTTAAAAACCAGAAGCTTAGTTGATTTATACTTCAGAGGCAGGGTGACTCAAGACACATTAATAACTAGAACTTCAATCTATGCAGGGGAATATATAGGCATCCAGTTGAAGTAACAAGGAAATAAACAAGTAGAATCCTAATTAAATCAGTCTACTCTTTCTATGCTTACTAGGAAGAACTTGTTACACCCACCAAAGGGAAAAAACTTAGCTTTGCTATTGGCAGAGAAGAGGCATTTGCACCACTGAAGCAATTTACTCCTTAAACTTCTCATAACCTGGATTTTAATCCTGCAAATTTAGGACCAGTGCTCTGCTTGGATACAGTATTACACAAAATATATTAGAATGTATACATCTTAACCTGGGAAAATATACAACTGTTTCCTCATTCTCATGAAATACATTACTTTGCATCAAAACCAGTTCTGCTGATACAACTCTTTATGTGTAAGCTATCATGAGCACACCCCTCTCTGCAAACGTAGCTATGCCAACTTCGCTTTACTTACACAAGGTGCATGCTCTAAAGTCCAGAGAGGAGTTGCAATAGCAAAGGCTGGTACAAGAACTCCCAAGGAAGTTGTCATTAAGGTACACAACTGTACAAGCCAACTTATTTCTCCTGCTCACAGAACTCACTAATATTCTGCTCCCACAAAAACAGCTCTAGAAGGGGGATCTTAAAAACAACAAAAAAGCACATCATAAAGCAGTCTGGATTCGTGTTTATTGAAGCCAGTAATTAAAGACGTCCTCATTTTGCCAGCACTAGAAAGCAAGATGCCACATGACTGCATACTGCACCTGGTTAAAGCCATACAACTGGACTAAGGTTTGTTTCATACATTTGCAGTCCTAATTGTAAGTTGGAAAAAAAACCAATAAACTTAGTATACAGGACAGTGAACTTTCATTTACAGCATGTATATTGTTAAGTTCATGATGTACAGAGCAGTCACTTTCAACGTAGTTAAATTAAATAAAATACGAAATTCTGTTCAGTTTAAACAGTTTTTTAAATGCCAATAAAAAAAGTGCAAACTTAAAATCAAGCAGCATAACCACAACATTTTTATGGAGGGCCAATCTTTAAACTTTTCTATTTGCTTCAAGTTGAATGCTTTCATCTTTTGTTTTCTTAGTTTAAACATGAACAGTAGATGCAGTCACTATAATGCATATAAATATAGTCATATAATAGTTTAAACAGTCTACCATACAAGTGTATCTGCAAATAAAATGAACTTTCACTTGAAAATGTAAAGGCTGTTTGCAATTTGGCCTTTGGTTCCAATGCTTGAAGACACCAGAATAACAACTGTGCAGCTCACCAAAGTTCACAGACTTTGGCAACCACAGGATGCTACATAACTTACAACTTTCTTTCGATAAACTAGGAGCATTCACTTGCAATTAGAAACCGGAAATCTGTTTCTGTTTTGTCAAAAGCATCTTTCTGCAAAGCTGTTAAGTATCATACATTATCAGTTTTGATCAATTTTAGTATATTTAACATTTTTATAGAACTGGAAAGTACTTCAATTTTAAGTTTTAGCCATATTGCTAGAGAAAGTGCTTATCAGGATAGATGACAAAAAAACGCAATTTCAGACTGAGGTTTTCAAACTATATCCCATTACGATCACACACTTTTTCAATTTTCCTGTCGAGTTTTTGATGTTTTAGTCTCCAATCTCAATTCTCAGTGTCAGGAGGACAGTGTGTAATTACTTCTTCTGGTGTGGTAACTTGCAGCTGGCACACATTACACCAGGAAGTACATCCACATTACCTATCAGCAATCCACAATCTTAGTCTAACTGGTATCTAGACAACTGTGTAACTTCAGGTCATACCGTTTATTAAAAAAAAGTAAAAAAAAAAAAAAAAAAGAAAAATATAGTATTTTCAACAAAAAACCTGGCACAAATAACATACTCATGTTAATGTTTGTCAAAGAGGCAAGTAAATACTCTTAGCTTTTTAGATAATGTTTAGACAGACTTACAAGAACAGCCTCTTGATGTAACATAGGATTTGAAGTTAACATCCAGTACTGTGTTAGTGGTCAATCTAATTCTGTATATTTAAGTAACAATATATATTAGGGAAGTTATATCCAGACATCAGATTTAGTACAACAAGTTCATATCAATAAAAAGTAAACTCTGCATAATTCAAATTGTGGTTTTTCCCTTCAGCGTTAAGAGCACAGAATATGCTTGGTATTTTTAACTTATGGTAGTGTGTACATGTAAAACAAGCATACCGTATACAAAATCAAAGTGCCATTTCAGTAACCATAGCAGTTTTGTTTTTACAGAATGATGGTTTTATGTGACATGGACAGAGCTCCGTTATAGCAACGGGGACAACCACAACCCATCTTTCCAAATGAAATGCTACATTAAAGGAAATACAAAACAAGTTATTGAGTATGTTCATCATGTACACATTCATACTTTTTAGGTTACCTTCAGAATTGGAGTTGGCTGCACCTGCAGCAGATGTGGTTGGAACTAGGGCCTTGAAAGTTTTTTTTAAAAACCTCCATAGGTGTAAGGCAGGAATCAATTTTAGCTTGGTAGCTAATATTTAGTTACAAAAAGTAAGAAAAAAAAAAATACTGAGAGTGTTCTGTAGCACATTTCATTATGGGAAAATGATACGTCACCCACCGTTCTTCATAGGCTAGCCTCTTGGCATAAAAAAAGGCAGAAGCTATCAGAAAACAGGATTTAAAATTAAATACAAATCGACGAACTACTGATTTTAAAATAAAACCAAACAGTGACTGTTTGTACTACAGTGCACAATAAGTTCAAGCACCTTCTAAAGACACATCACACACTGTGCCAGGCACTTGGATCTAAACAAGTTATAGTTTCTCCCTTCGTCAGCTACACCAGAAAGGGCATCCACACTCTTAGACTTTTTTAAAAACTAAAACAAGATTTATAACAAGAATAAATTCCCATGATGCTTAGTGTTTGGCCTGGAATTCTCCAATGTAAAGTAGTCTTTTTAAAACAGTGATTATTTACCCTATGTGAAACACGGGGTTTAACAACATTGCTCCTCTCCAGTCAATCCAACATTCTAGTTTCTTACTGTCCCAAATCTGTTTCCCCTTTTAGGGCTCCATTCCCTACCTAGGCTTCTTTCACCTAATTAATGCTCTCTTACACCACCACCACCACCTTTCCAAGAATATAATGCATTTGCAAACATACAAGTAGCCAATTCCAGTAACTCTGAAAGAGGATTTCATTTCTCCTTCTTGCCTTGTGTGCAGTCAGTAGTAGTATTTTAATAAGAATTCTCCATTTTGCTTCTTTGTGTTCCTCACAACAGGAAATGCAGCTGCACCTGCTTACCTCCAAAACCAAAAGAATTGCCCTATATAAACTCTAAATGGTTATCTTATACAGAGGGATTTTATATGCAAACTTCCTGAATGTGCACTTTTTACTGGGACAAGGCAATGATGTAGTAAGCTCATTTCCCCTGCCCCAAGAAAACTGATAGCATCTGCCATAGCAGAAAATTTCTGGTCTTATCAGATCAATATACATAGTTATTTGGTCATTTACATATGCATTTTTTATGCGCTATCAAGCTTCGTTCTCTGTTGGAGGAGAGTTTGTTGTTACCATAGAGTCTGGCTTGCGAGTCATCCTATCCAATTCCTCTTGAACATTTGTCAAAACTGTTTTTTGTCCTAAAAAGAAAAAGGACAAGGTTAAAGCAATCTAATTTCAATGAAATGTTTTAACCAATGAGTACAAGTATTCATAAAATCTCTTTTATATGACAATATACTATTTAATTTCTCATTATTTCGCCACCTACCCAAGAACACAGGGCCTGACACAATGCAAGGTAATGTCTATGTAAAGACTATGGTTTGATTCAGTTTAAAGAGCTGAAATGCTGAATTATGCAGCAGCATAAAGCACAACAATATCTGTGATATATTTTACAGCAACTAACATTTTAAAAACAACCACATTTAGAATTTTCTATAAAAATCAACTGTACGCAATTCTATTATTAGTATTGATAGCAAGGACTTTATTTAAACCCAGATTTTAACCACAAGTTTTCCAAGGTACGTAGGACACCTGCTACAAAAATCACATTTGTTTGGTCACACTTACACTTGCTGCATTTTTATATTAAACGACAAACAGGAAGAACTCTTTTATGTCTGCCAACAATGTTTCCCTTAAAAAAGGGGACATGAATTGCATATTCATGTAATATCTCAGAGCAGTCATTTCAAAGGACTTCTTCAATTGGAAACAGACACACTGAAGTATTTCATGGAAAGGCGTATCTTACATTTTTATATTAGACTCAAAACTTTTTAACAATTCTCCAACTGAACCATCAGTTTAATTCTCTCATTCTGAAAATTATAAACTCACAGACAAATGAATCGCTAAAATTGGAACAATACATTCTAATGCTTAGAGCATACAAGCATTTAAGATTAAAAAGCTGTATTTTTAGACAAAAAGTAGATTATATAACCATGTACAGCTTCCTTACATAGCCAAAGAATTTAACAAGCATCTGTTTTCCAGCTTAAATGTGTGTGAAATATTAGGTGGATTTTTTCCAGGGTACATGCTGAAAACATTAAGAAGGCAAGATTTGACTGTTAGAAATGGAAGTGTTTTTTTCCCAAAGTACAAAGACAAAATCAAGTTAAAAGGTTACCTTTAATCACTACAAAGGTTTTAGATTTAAGCACTAGTCGTAAGCCACAGTACTCGTAATAGCATCTATTCAAAGCATGAGTATTTAAACAAAATTTAGAAATTAGTACGTTAACTGTAATACAACTTAAATTACAAAACACTTTACATGTAGCCTAATGGTACCTTGGAGTTAAAAAAAACTAAATCCTAAAACAATAAAAACCACACAAAATTCTTGCTCAAACAAAAGTAGGTCTAAACAAAAAATGTGCCTTTTTTTAAGGCTAGATGAACTGGATTCTTAAGCCTCCAAAATAATACCAAGCAGCTGTCTCCTACAACTACCTCATACTGGACAGGAAAAACATTGCCAAGCTGTTCCATAATGTGTAGGTTTACATACTCCTCTTTACCACCATCATAGCTGAGCACCTTTCAAAGGAGAAGAAATACAAGGAGCTGTTTTTAAGAAAATAAAGATTTCGCCTCTGTTACAAATTAAATTAATACTTGCTTTCAGTTTCCCCACAAAAATATTGTCAAGTACGGTAATAGCCTTAGGCAATTAGATGTGTTCTATACAATTATATGTATTCTCCTTTCTCGATTAGAGTGAGAGCAGGGAACCCTAGTTCTTTATCTATTGCACAGGAATAGAAGGGCAAAGGCAAATCTTACAATCTACAAGAATCTTCTTGTGAATATAAATGAAATAACTTTTTAAGTCTAGAAGTCCATGCGAAGAGAAATAATCCACCACAGAAACCACCAATTGAAGTTCTTTGAAATATCATGGTCTACACATAGAAGACAGACAGTCCAGAAACATAAAGGCACATAAGATAGGTGAGGAATTACACAGCATGAAAAATGGACATGACATTGCAGCATCTGCCCAGATGAGAGAGTTCTCTCAAGTAAGAGTTAACATAGCAGAAACCAATCAATCAATTAGGCTGACCGGTATGTTGAGAACCACAATGTCTCCCTCATCCTGTGACAAAATCTAAACATTTCAACTACAGGACATTCATAGCTGTGGGAGAAACGGATGGTCTCTTTAAAGCTAAATATTTATAGTGTCAACCTTCTGAAAACTTCGGACTCTTTGAACAGTTTAGATTAGACATTTAAAATGCCTACAAAGATAATTTTAGCACATTTACTCACACAGAGGATGCTGCCATAAATAAGACCTTCTCCAAGATATTCTCCTCAACTCTTCCACAAAAGAGCAAGTAATCTTTTCTGTTATCACCAGCACCAGCTATCTCATAAACTCAACAAAAGCTTTTCAGATATCAATGCGAGGAGGCCTTACCTTCTCAGGAAAGTTTAATCTTATATTGGTTGAATATAAGATGTGAACACATCAGCTGACAAGGAAACAGGCATATTCTCTTTTGAGTGAAAGCCGATTGTTCTGTTCCGAAAGTCAGGGAATGAGCGTGAGCTGCCAACTTGATGCAGCCAAGAAAAGCCAACTGCGATCTTGAGATCACTCGGGAGAAGTACTTCCACCAAAGAAAGAGAACTGCTGTACCAGGCACTACAATGAGATATATCTGGAGTGCTGCATACAATTCTAATCACTCATGTTCAGGAAAAGATAAGATAGATAAAGATAAAAGGTAAGATGGGAACTGATGAAGAATAAACTAGTAGGGAAAACAGAGCTCAACCTCTAACAGAAGACTAGAAGAGAACTTACGTAATTTAGTGCATCAAAACAAGAAAGTTAAGAACGGATATATGACTGCTGTCTCTAGATGTTTCAGGAGAGAAATAATCTATTTAAGTTAGAAGTTAATGCTGACACAAGGAGGGAAAAAAAAAAAAAGAAGGTACACATAGCCATTTGTTATCTTTGAAAACTCCTGAAAGGCACATGATGTTCTAGAAGACTGAAAGAGGAAAGAGTAAAGCCCATCACAGACTAGTTAGTTTTTACTCTAGTATTTTTTCCAGAAATTGCCATTATGTTTCAGATGCTTACAAACAGCCTACCAGCACAATAATCAACATGGATCTGTTACCAACAAGTTGTGTCAAGCCAACCAAATTTCTTTCTATGGTAGGATAACAGGTCCTGTGGAGAAGGGAGAAGTGGTCGATATCACATCTCACATAACCTTCATATAAATAAACTAGAAAAACAAACAGTCTTGTATTTCAGAAAAATGAATGTATTGTAATTCATAAAATTACCCATTAGTTATCCATAGTACTAGTCAATATTTTTATTCAGCAATCTACTCTGTCCACCTGTTGAAGATATCAGATATGTAGGCAACCATGCTTGAAGGGCTACAAAGGATTTTGAAAGACAGGATTGGAGGTAAAAAGTTCTTTATATAAGTTATCAAAGTGGTGCCTAATAATAGAATGGAAAACAATGATAGAGCAAACGTTCACCCTTTGGAAATACTAAGGTAATTCGATACAGACTAGAAAACCTCCTGCTAGGAGGCAGAAATTGTATTTAACTGGCTGTACTGTCGCAAGAAATCCTGATCAGTATCATACACATGAAAAAAACCTAGCATCACGCCGAGACATCTAAACAGAAGCACAATACAAAACACAGACTAAGTAACCCCTAGTTAGGGCAGACAAAGCCTTGTCTGAAGTACTGCATTCATTTCTGAGCACCAAAAGAAACAGGTCATCTGAGTAGACAGTCCAAAGGAGAAAAGAGTAAGAATTATCAGAGCGAAAAAAAGCATGTGCTGTGAGGAAAGGCTGACAGAAGTGTATTTTTGTAGTCCAGACAAAAGTCACAGGCAAAAGGGTAACAGCTTTCAAATATGCAAAGGATTGCTGCAAAGACAAAGGGGCTACACTGATCTCTGTCTCCACTCAGAAATACTGACTGTACAAGAGAAAAAATAACTAAGAAATTAAGTACTGGAATAGGCTGCCTGGAGAGATGACATTACATCTTTTATTTCAGAGTTTGTTTGCTTTTTAATCACTAGCCAGGAACTTCCTAACTGATTCTGCTTTAGATAAAGAGCATGGATGAAATAATCCCTAAAAATTATTTCTAGTCCTGTTTCTATAAAAACACTTAATTTGACATTGTGGTCAGTAATAGCATGATGCTGCACTTGATGAAGCAGGGGCACCTTTCAGTGTTTAACTAAAGAGGGCATTCTGGATTAAGAAAGAATGAATTAAATATTTTTATAATGTAGGTATAATAATATTACGTAAATAATACATATTACAAATAATTATTTTATTGTTACCTTTATAATAAATAAATTTAATAAAGATAAATTACAGAATTCATCATGATAAAACAAAAAAAACACCAACTAAATACTGACTTGCCTTAAGTCAAATTCTAGCCATTTTTGAGCTTTCAGAGCATGGAATGTCATATAAACCCTTCCCAATTAAAAAAACCCCTTACTTCCCCTCTCCAGGAATAGTTTCAGTTCAAATACCACACTCCAACAACTGCTCTGGTTCTCTTAACTGGCAGTACCATCGCTATGGCTGGCATCAAGTATTTTTCATTTCCAGCTCAGAAAGTCTGGGCCTTGCACACTCCTCTAAGCACCAGAAACCGTGGGTTTGGCATCACCATCAAATTTTAGGTGATTTCACAAGTCTGGGATCAGAAGTAGAATATCTATCAATAATTTAGTAATGAAATAATTCTGGAAGGAAAACTCCTAAATGTAAGTGTGACGGGAACGCCAATATCAAAAAGAAACAAATAATCAAAGTAGTATATTTCTAATATCGGGTGGAACAATCACGGGTTTTACAACACTGAGTTTTGTGTAGGTACCAAGTATTCTTTTATTTTCACCTGAACTAGTGCAATTACTTATCAGCAAATATCTTATACAATGCAGTCACAAGCACATACACAGAACGAATCCACTTGGTCAGTGTTATCAGTTGTGTTAGATCACAATAAAATACTAAATTAATGACAGAATAACTTCAAACTATCATAAGAAGTAATTCATTTAAGCCTGAACTCTGGAGAGATTTCAATAGTTTCAACTACAGTCCAAACCCAATAAACTGCATTTCCTTCAAGCAACAGTTAAGTGTCAAGAAAGGAAGGAATTCTAAAGTAAAAAAAAAAGAAAATCAGCACTTTCTGAATATGATCAAGACTCAAATGTTATTCATATCCCAGCAGCATAACTTCACTCAAAGAATCAAGTTACAATAGGCTTAATAGAAGCCCTGGAGTTGTGAAGTTGCAGTAGCTTACTTCTTTTTTAAAGATTGCACATTTTGGCACTGTCACCTGTCAAGGTCTGTCACTTTAGTGACCAGTTTAAAAGATACGCACAGTTAGACCAATGTGGGCCAAATTAAATATTAAAAATATGCAAAACAGCCTGCAATAACAAGTCCAATACCTGATTTCTTGGCTGTACTTTGCACTGCTCCAGCACCAGGACTCCCAGGAGATCCAGTCTTTTTGCTCAAGAGACTGTTAAAGAAACTAGCCAAGACACCTTCACTTGCAGCATTATCTAAATAAAAACCAAACATACATATATATATATATATAATCTCACAGAATAGTTATTGCTGGTAAATGATAGAACTTATTTTTTAACATACATATGTAACTCTCTTACCAATCAGGGAAATAAACCTCAAATACGAGAGAGTCACTTTGCTCAATTTAAAGACACTAGTCTTTTGCATTCTTTGGTAAAGTCAGAGATGACTGAAAGCATATTACTGCTCTTCTGGAACGGTGGGGGGTGGTGACAAAATTTTAATCTAAGTATTTGTATGCTTTTGTTTTTTCTAAATGTAGAAGTTAAGAAACAAAATATTAAGTATGGATGTGCAATTCAAAGATTTATAAAGTCCATTAACAAACTGCGTAGATGTTTTAGTGCAGTCTTTCATGCTACACTACTTTTCATAAATCAGAACTGGGATATACAGCAATGAGACATGATCCAGAACTGCATGACTATTTTATCCACTGTAAGTGAGGCGTGGCACCACAGTGCATGATTAAAAACAATACTGGCCCTACCAACTTCTTAATGCATAGAGAAGAAACCACTCAACAACGTGGAGCTCCATCTTAGGGCTGAGGGAGGGGAAAGGGTGTAATTTCCAATTTACTTCATGTACTATAGAAAATGACATTCTAGAGAGGCTTTAGTAGAAGAACAGGTTTCATTGCGGATTCCAGAATAAGTGATATGAAGTATAAAACTGCGTGTAGTTTAAAGCAGTCCCCACTCTAATAATCCAACTGATGCATAATAAATGCATTTGGGTAACTTAAAGAAATAATGTATTTGAACTCTGTCTGACTGCTTCGCAATAACAGAATTCTATTTCAAGTCATATGAATGACCCAAAAAACCCCCCAAAAAAAACCCCAGGAAAAAAAAAAGAAAAAAAAAAAATCAAACCTGAAGCTATGTCATAAATTCATTCCTGTTATTAAACTAACTATACCATTAGTGAATAAATTCCAAAATCTTTCTACAAAAGAGGATTTTTTTTTTTTAAGGGAAATAACACATGATAAAAACAGTAAAATGCTTATTCATACTTTTAATATTTGGATCTGGTTTCTTAACTGATGTTATTGGTGAGGCACTGGGTACATTGGCGGGACCAGCTCTGCCTTGAGTTCTTGGGGATCCTGCAGGGCCTCTTGCAGGAGATTCCTCAAAAAAAGTCCAAATCACACAAATCAGAGAAGAACTTAAATGGATTACTTATATAAAGCAAATGTAACATTACATAGAAATCACTTTTTAAACCTTTATATTAGCACTGTAGTGTATGCACACTGGGAAAAAAAACCCAACGCAAAACACCACCAGTTATTTTGGGCATGTGCCTTCACTAAAAGAAAGGATGAATCACTGTAGGAAATTTTCGATTCAATAATCATCAGTATATTTCTATGTTTCCACAGTGAATTAGAATGAAGTAATTTATCAGCAACATTTTAAAATACTGGCACTTTTTTTTTTTTTTTTTTAATTTACTTTCTGAAGTTTGGGGAGATTATGTATTTTACATTTACATTTACAAAAGGAACCTCTACAGGTTAGAATCATTCCCTCTTCCCCAGAAGGAAACAAAACACTTCCTACTCTTCTCTACTTACTGATGCTCTTGTAGGCGTTGCTGGCTGTTTGGCAAGGAATGACTGCAAAAACAACATATTAAGAATATTAAATATATTTCAGAAACTATAAAGGAATAAAATACAGTGAAGCTGACTAACCATTAATTTATTTGATAATTTTTCTTCCTGGTATTTACTGGCTTCCTCTTTGATATTTTTATACTTCCAGACTCTACCACTAGAGGACAGAGTTAAAATGAGTAAATAAGCTTCAGTCCTTTGTCCTACACAGCCATTCCAGAACTGTAAGCCAGAACGATAGACACACAAGTCTGTAACCTCTATGATATTTATAATCAACTATACAGGAAAGTATTATTAGGTTTTTTAAACAATAGAGCAGTAAAGAAAATAACAAGATACAGCATAGCCAAATTTTACATCTTTAAGTCTTTCAAGCCTCTGGCTGTAAGAAAACTGCAACATTAAGATGTTATGTTTTAAAAGTATTTCTATTTTACAGATCAATACATCTATGTTGTGAAATTTCAAATTATCTTCTAGCTCTTCTCCTTTGAAATGTAAATTATTTCTGTTCTCAGCATATTTTCCTTTCAACTTGCCAAGATAAGTGGCCATATTTTCTACTCATATTTGTTAAAGTCTTATTTCACAATTATATCTGAATTTGCAAAGCTGAAAAGTGGCTATCTAGTGATTAAAATGAGGAATGAAAAACTGGAGGCAGTAACAATGGAGAGCTTAAAGTGAAATCTTATTTATTAAGGACTTATTTTCATTCTTCCATTCTTACCTGCTGCTTCATAAGAAATACTTGTTCATCTTCTGCTGCCAGCTCTTTATCATGGACCAACTGTTGAACAAAATATTTTGTTATTAGAAGTAAAAACTGAAATTACTGTAACTGTTTTTATGTTTTCGTGATCAAAAGGGACAAGAAAGAGGCAAATTTTAATACCATTCTTTACCTTTAAAAAAAAAAAACCACCACACAAACTTCTTTCACATTTAAAAGAGTAGTAACATTAAAGAAGCTGTCATTAAAAAAAAAAAATACTGTAAGTGAATGGAGTAGATTAGCATTGATGCCAGCCTGTGGGTATTCTCCTAGAAAGATGAGTACATTCATCTTTTTAAGTTGAAGTATTAATCTCATCAGCATCTCTTCAAAGACCTGAGATTACCTTACTCCGTAAGACCCCACACTCAATCCCTCAGCCCCCAAAAGCACTATACTAGCTTTTATCAGTCGTAACACTGCTATTAGGCAACGATTATTTCCTATAGGTGCCATGAGTTACAAACAACAGGATTAAACCTTTCCCTTACATGAAAGCTTCAAACAGCTTTTCCCTTTTCCACATACTGGGGCTTGAGCTAGAAACATTAAGTGTGTAAGGAAGTTGTAAAAGAAGCTTTCCGATACAGACCAGAATGCAATTTCATTTACAATTTTCCGTATTATCCATTTTACACATATCCTATTTCTGTGTGCTTATACTCACAAAATTAGCAATATACAGAATTTATATGGATTATTTACTGCTCTTGCCTTACATGAAGAAATCTGTCATTAATAATATGTTAATGCAATAGTGATATACTGTCTTGTTTTACAAGATTTGCCTTTACATGGTAACCTCAATGCCATGTGTGTATATATGTAAATTGTTGAAGTACTACAACAGTATTCTCCATTTTCAAAAAGTGTTTTTTGCCCCATGCATGCAAAAAGGTTCATGTGAAATGGTTATTTTTGGACTGCCTTTCATTCACTAAGGTGAATGATTTCTGTGTGTGCTTGCAGTATTTTAAGGCTTGCAGTATTTTAAACAACTGGAAAATGAAAGCCTGATGTTTCACACATTTGGATACAAAAAAAAATTACATTTAGATTTGGAGTTCTTCAATATTAATAGTTATTAGTAGCCATTCAAGCAAACTGCACTTATTCGTCAGGGGGGCAGGGAAGAGTTTACCCCTTTTTACCTTTCTTACAGGAGGTTTTACAATGAAGTCCTCATATGCATCTTCTGGTTTCACTGTTGTGAAGTTTTCATGTAAAATGGCAATTTTCTTTTCATTGTCCCAACCCGCAGGTCTATAAAAAGAAGGAAAGCTTTGCCTTTTCAGTCACAAAAAGCGCTTCTATAGAGACTGTTCATTTACTTCCCCCTTACCTGAATAAAGCAATTTTATTATAGGTCAGTCCTAATTCTCAGCTAAATTCCAAAGATAGTAAAAAGCTGGAATGGTATACTCTGAGTCAAGTAACCCAAGTAATATGCACTAAGTTGTTTTTTTAATTCAGGATTTCAGAAGACTCACATACTAAGCTTTTGAACGACATAAACCATTAAAGTTATTTTTATATATATGTTATATGAAGTGTAGTGCTTAATAGAAAACAATCTGAAACCATGCTGCTTATACAATTGACTTACATAAAAACTGCATCCTTTTCTACCACTAAGGCAGGTGTAGTAAACTGAAAACCGTATGTTTTATGTACAATGTACTTATACAACAGATCAAGGTTCTTTTCCTCCTTAACTGATGTATAAATCAAGGCAGCCCCATCTGATTATTTATTTAAGGAAAATTACGCAAGATGCAATTTTTAAATTATAGTAAGAATTTCAAAACAGGAGCTAATGGACTTATATCTACTAGACCTGATTTTGAGAAGTAGTTCAAAGCAAAAGCTACAGCCATTTAGTATTCAGGGAGAGGAAGGGAGTATAACAGGACAAGACATACAGAAAAGTTACCTACCCTCCCAAGCAATTAACTGTGAAAAAGTCAAAAACTTAAGAGACAGCTGAGATCTCAGGTTTACATGGAAATTGCAAGTTCTGAGGGGAAAACCAAGACAACCCACCTCACAAAATGCAACACAAATCCTTTGTAAAGGAACAAAAGCTCCAAATCCCATGCACAATTTAAAAACTATAAAAAGTTTTATACATCTCTCAACATTTTCAAAACAACAACTAAATACCAAGCAATCTTGAAGTGCAATTTCTCAGATTAACTTTATGTGCAATTCAACACTAAAGTGTATTTTCTTGCTTCCAGATTACAGCAAATCTCTTCAGTGCAGGAAAGGATACACTGTAAGCAGAATCTACGAATGTGCGACTGAATGAAGTCGAAGTGTTCTTCTCTGTAATCATGCTCCTTCTCTAGTACACTCACTGCATCACACTGGAAGAAAGGAAGAAAAACAAAACCAGAAAAACCCAGTCAATTAATCCCAACATCTTCCTTAATATTACACACATCACATTTACTTTGAGCCTTTGGTTTTAAAATGCCACCAATAAATCAAAAGATAAAGTAATTAACATGTAATTGATAAGGTTATTACCCTTCTGCAAAATTAAAAATTGACACTGATGGCAGAAGCTTACTTTCAAAATAAATCCCTTTACTATTAATCCAGAATTCATTTTGCATGTCTGTATAAAGCATGCCTTCTAAAGGAAAAGTCATTAAACTTTTGCATAGTAGCCAACAGAACTAGAAACTCACTTTTGTACAAACTACCAGCACAGGAATACCAAGGTTGTGAGTCAGCACATTTTCTCCAAGTGGCAAAGAAACATGTTCATCCTCTTGGCCAGAAGAAGGGCCTCTTCTCTGTGGTGATCCTTGATAGCCTTCTTCAGGTTCTACATATTCTTGAAACTCCTTTATAACTATTAAGAGAGAGATCTTCTTAAGGTACAACAAAGGAACTAGTTCTTCTTTTTAAACCATAATTAATCTATGACTAACTAGAAATCTCAACTTTTTTTTTCTTTTATAATGAGGCACTACATGAGAACAGAAATCTCAACTCTTTTTTTTCCTTTTATAATGAGGCACTACATGAGAACAGAATGCAAGCTTAAGCCTTGTTGCCCCTTCAAACAAAACAATTCTCCTCCATGAAAATTTACAGCAAGCTAAGCCAAGTGCAATTTGGAGCTGTTACAAGTAATCAAAACTAGCTGCAAGAGCTATAGTATGCACAAATGCACGTTCCTCAACTCAATGCATTTCATTATAGGGGAGTTGACAACAGAAAACGTAAATGTAGTTTAGCAACACGGCCTATACTCACTGCAATTTGTACCTGGTTTTGGAAGAAAGCACAGTGAAAATGTAAATGGACACAGAAAACACCACGTTATCTTATAAACGATTACTCAATTTAAGTTTCTATTACTCTACATTTCTGTTGCAGGAATCCAATGCTAGAAAGATAAAAAAATACACTGCATAAATACAGTCTCAAGGACTTCAACTGTTATCTGAAGAGACTCAGTTATATTCTGGAAAAGTACAATGGAGTCCAGAGGAAACTAGATGCTTTCCATGTTTTCAATGTTTTAATTTTATGGCAACGAGTGTTCCAATAATACTGAATACTATCAAATACTGAAGTGCCTAAGAAATAGCATTAACACCATTTTGGAAGCGCACTGTGACCCCACGCATGCTTTGTCAAAATTGGGCTGCAACTTACAGCTTTTATGTCTTTTTTCAGGATGAAAGCCACGGACCAGATAAATCTGCCTAGCGGATGTGTCTGCTCCCGGGCACAGCACTTCCCGAAGGCCCAAGGCTCTTCCTCACATGACAATGCCACCTGAAGCCTCCTCCTCACTCAGCCATGAGGAGCCCTCAGGAAAGAGGCAAGCAAAGCTCCAGGATTTGCTCCCATGATGGCGTCTTTATTTTAGAAACAGTGGGAGCAGGCTGACTGTACATACAGTAAGCAAAACTCTTTGAAAAAGCTCCCAATCTCCAGCACAGTCACAAAGAGAGTGTTGTTCAGTACATCCATCCATGTGACAGGGAAGGAACTGCAACTGTACTGCAGGCCATCTGATACTTCTGAGGTTTAGGAAGTGGTAAAACCTCAGAAAAGTTTATAATACAAATCTTGCAAAATAAAGTCACTGTACCTTTTCAAAATAGGAACCATTCCTGCAATAGAATGGGCATGTGGAAGGAAGAACAAATCAGAAAAACACTACTGTTCAAAGCTGCACAATCCACAATTTTTATCTGAAATATAAAATCATGTGATTTTTGTGGAAAACAAGAGAGCTCTAGTCCAGAGACAAGCTTAAAAAACCACATTAAATATAGACCATAAGACCATAGCACAATCACCAATTCAATATATCCCAAGGTCCAAGGAAATAAAAAAAAAAATTTGAATGCAGTTGCTTTTAAACTTGGGGAGGCAGTGCCTTCTGGTGGAGAGGAAACAGCAATGCTTTCAAAGAGATGCTTTCCTCTAGTACTGTTTCATATTCAGCAACTGGAAATCAAAATTCCATTATACTTTCTGCACATTAAGTATGTTTACTGACTATCTCACAGAAAGCAAATTAATTCCAGAGCATTTAACTAAAAAAGGGTTTAAAAAAGTACTTATTTCATTACTCAGACTTTTCCTAGCTCAGGACAGGAAAAAACCTATTGAAGACAAGTGTATTTCAGCAATCAAGAGAGTATCATTAACATGCACTACAATCATTCAGATAAACCTCTGACTTAATCAGATGTAAAAGAATATTTGACAATACTGCTCTCAATTTACTACAGCATTATAATCAGACAATATTAGTTTCCTAGGTTTTGTTCATATCAAAACAGAAAAATCTTTTTTTACTGAGATATCTATTAGTATAAACCCCCTCAAATTTGGGAAATAAAAGTTTTCTCTTGAAAACAGTAAGACTCTGACAACATGATACAAATCATTATTCAAGATACCCCAAGAATTCTACTAATATAAATAATAGCAAATGCCAACATAGAAACTTCAGAAATCTGATGGCACAACCTCATGAATTTCTGCTGAATGGGAATGAAGACCATAATCTAGAGAACTGAGATTCCCAACTCTTCCCTATCCCCAAGAGTAAGCATCACAGACCAGCGATCAACAAGGCCGTATCTCACTCTGGTTGATCCATGCATGGAGGGAGGAAAAACCTGACTGTGGAGATGAACTGTTGTTGGGGATTGTTAATAATGTATATGGTCTGGCATTAATCCCTGACTAGAGACTGAGAAATGCTACAGAATACACTCAGCTTTAGTTAACAAGGTCTGTTGAACAAGAAAACACTAGAGTTGAAAGAAGGTAAAAGCTATACTAAGAACCTCTAACTACTGTATCCTGAAGGCAGATACACTTGTTCCTGAATTACAGTTTAAATCCCTGTTAGTGATAGGCTCTTAAACACTTTTTAAAGACTCTCATTCAACCCCCATTCCCATTCAAAATTTAGTCTTGTTAAATCCAAAGTAAACCTGTATCACACCTCTTATGAACAAGCTGCATTCTAAGAAGCTAATAAAGCACCTCACTTCAGTTAAAGTGTTTCTTTGTCACACAGCAATTTAATATTTTTTCCATACCTTCCATATCTATTTCTCACTTGATCTCCATTCTCAAACTTTTCATGGACATAAAGTTCATCATGCACCCAAACAGCTTGCATAAATCTTTTCTTTCTCCTTTTTTCTAGCAAGCTACGAATATTTTCTCCTCCACATAATTCGTATTAAGGAATCACATTCTGTATGGTATGGGAAATAACTCCTTTATTAAGAAGGAGGGGAAAATGACTTTGGTTTAAATTTTTTTGAACAGGAAATACAGATAAGATGATGCACATAAAATAGGAAGCCAGAAAAACAACTGTTCATCTGACAAATCAGTAATACTCTGCTACCTATCAGTAAGGCCAAGTACTAGGAATGGCCTATTAAATTTGAAAAATTATCACCAGGTGATAATATGCCATAAAAATCACACCCGCTACAGTGTGCTAATTCATCTACCAAACTTGTGGCTTATCTAGGTAAACAGCCTTTTATTTAGACCTTTGCGTTTAACACAGCAAACGAATGCAAGTTTCCAGTTAACTGTTTTGTTCTCATGTTACTGCTTATTTACACAAGCTACTGAAAGCTAACTATAACAACAGATGTATCATTCATGTTACAGGAGCAATTGACTTGAAGTACCACCAAGAAAGCAATCCACAATTATTCTTAGGTTTGATTGTTCTAGTAACAATAAAATCCTCAGTCTTGTAGTACTGTTTAACTGCAATATGGAAATGGCAGACAAACACTACAACTTACTTAAACAGACAGATCACAAAAGCACTGAACAGCAGAACAAGAAAAAAACAGAAAAATTTTCTGAGACAATCATTCCATAATTACACTGTATCAAGTTTCACAATCAGTTTGTGCAGCTTTTAGCTTTTTTGTGCACTATCTTTACTGATCATAAATTTTAGTCTTGTGAAAAGAATTCCTAGACAAAAGATATCTGGACAAAGTGAGTTTCTTTTATCTTTTATCTTCAGAATTCTTTCAGCTCTATGTCAGATTAAAAAAAAAAAAAAAAAAAAAGAGGCAGAGAACCTGAAACTAATTCAGCTTGAAAAGGACACTACTTAATTTTCAGAAAAATATGTTATTGTGTTTCAAGTCTTCAGCTTCAAACGCTCCAGAGGACATTAATATAATAGCCATTTTACCAGTATACTTCCTTTCTGCATTTCTTGATTCTTGACAGTCGTCTTTTCTGCTTTGCTGTCATAAACAGGGAGGCAAAATTTAGATCTTCCCTGAAATAATTATTCAAATGTGTGTTATTTAAACATTGATTTATTATAATAGAGCCTGAATTAAATTAGAACATTTGAACTGACATTATTTATCAGAATCCAACTAGCCAAGCTTTTCGCAAGGAATTTCCAGAGCAGCTCAGTGGTAGGAGTGAGTGCAAACAATGCTCTTGGTATACACTGAATAATTCAATTTCTTTTAAGGCAGCCTGTTGCTTCTGTATGTGTGTCCTGCCTCCCATTCTGGAAGCTCTTCAATACAAAAGGAAAGCTTCTCGTATACCAGATGGAGCCTAGTGTCATCTACCCAGTAAAGCCAAGAGTCAGCATCTCAAATAGCAAACACAAGACAAAAGGCTGGGTGGAAAAAGGCCACCAAAACCTTGAAAGCAAAGACAAGCAGTTCAAAGTTCAATTCCATTGAAAACGGTGAGCTAACAAAAGGATTTCTGGAAACTGGTGTTAAGATCCTGGTGTTAAGTAATGGAGAAAGAACAACCCAGCAGCACTTTAAACAGATGCTAATGGGATAATACTAGAAAATGCTTCCCCAGGTCAACAAGAACTCCTGGTTACTGGTACTGAGTGCAATAGCTAGGGAAAGCAGTGCAGACGGACATTCAGCTTGGTCCACATGCCCCAGCTTAAATCTAGAAGCAAGCATAAGGGAATTTGGTTCTACAAGCTGAAGTCAAGAAACATACACATCCATGTGGCGTTATGCTGCAGTGGGGCTTTACTGGAATGAATTTAGCATATCTCCTCACTCTGCACCCTGTTTCTATGTTTTGACTGCCTGCTTTGCATATGCACTTTATTATCCCAGTTTTTTCATATCCAGGCTATTGCAACACAGTGATTCTCCATTTTCTAAGCGGCAGCTTATCTCAGGAAGCATATGCAGGGCTTTAGTAAGGAAAACTTTGCTGGTGTAGCTTTATTGATGGACAGCAGTCACAAGGCATTCTTCAGGCATGTGTGCTCTATATTGTCTAAGCAGTTACACTAATATAGCCACAGCTGTAATAGGAATTTCTTTTAGCACAATTTGCTGTTAATACAAGCTATGGTGGCCAAAGTTTTAAGCACAGATCTGGCCTTAGGGACAGTCTGCAAGAACTCAGAAGACAAGTATCTGAGATGACATAAGTGTCCTACACAGCAACTGAGAAAAGGAGAGAGATGGAAGTTTGGGAGTGGAGACATTAAGGCCCCTGTTTTACCTGCATGCTGGACCGAAGTTCACCGCTCAGCCATAGGATGGCAGCAGAGTCCTGCACGCGTGTGAATTAGGCAGCTCTCAAATTTTCCTTTTCCCTCGACTCTATTAAAGCGCAAGAGAAACTAGGAATTTCCATGATAGTTTAATTTAGAAATCTCCAAGACAATACTATTCGAATGTCTTCTAAGTTCCCCAAACATGGTGCTAATTTGCCATAGCTGTAATTGGCTCGTCCACACAGTTCACTCTTAGTGAAGACTGAAAACACTTCTCTTTTCAAAAGTGAAACTTAAGTGCACAAAATCCACATTTATTTGGATTGCCATAAAACTTGGTGTATCTCAGAAAGGTCCAAATCGGGTTAGCTTCTGTATTTTGAGAATAGAACTGCCTTTCCATCTCCCATTCCCAAAAAATCTCTCACACTTAAAAAAAAAAAAAAAAAAGATGCTTTTTGCCTTAAAAATTGTCAGGTTTTGTTTTGTTTTTTTTTTAAATATAACCTGGTGATCAACCCACGTAGTTTCAATCATTAAGTTTAAACTCTAGCTAGTATGCTATAGGCACAAGCCTTTTGGGAAAGTAATATTTAACATTCAGAAAGGAGATCAGCTATACAAATACATCTGAATGCTCACAAGCCAAACAGATTACACTGCTCCCTAAAGTGAATCTAAGAAAGCTACTGGACAGTATTTGCAAGGTTTAAACACTCCAGTACAGCTAGCCACCAGCCCTGAACAAAAGCAGCAACCAGCAAGGATCAACCTGAATCTATACTTCAGCTGAAAAGGAATGCATGTTGCTAAGGTCTTCTCCACTGAAGGAATTTATTTTGGAGTAATTCAATATGAAAACAGAAAAAACTCTCAAGAAACATTCAAAACTATTTTAGGAAAGCAAAGAAGCTGCAGCGATGACTGCTTGCCAGTGCCAGATTCTTTCCTGCCACAGATATGCCAGGAAAGAAAGTTAATTTATACAACATTCCTAAAGTCACACGGTAGGAATGGCTGTAGTGAGAGACAATTAGATGTACCAGGACCACAGTCTGAGCCTTGTGACAAACAAGGGCAAAGAGACCTACTAGAAGACACAGTATGGGAATGGGACCTGCCTTAGATACCACAGAAAAGCAGACAGCTCACTTCGTTGCTGGATTTTGTCACTATTTTTAAAAATGTGACTCTGTATGGAGTTATTTTTAAAAATTGGCCTTTCAAAATATCAAATTATCAAAATCTCATTATTGCAAGGGATTTAGACCATTAATTAACCTGATGTTTTGTTAGCACAGCAAAATTGGAAGAGTTGTTTTAAAGCCTAATAGTCTGTTAGAATTAGAGTTGTAACCACAACTTCGAAGTAATTCTTATCCAACCCATTCTCAAAACACTAATCTGAAGAAATTTATCATTACAAAAGAAAGTTGCAAGAGCTAGTTTAAAAAAAAAAAAAAAAGGACAAGAAGTATGGATGGATGCACAAAGACTTACACTTCTGTTCCATGTCTCTCATCTCTTCCGGAGGAATTTTCATCTTATCAATATGTTCTTGCAAGACACTGGCCCATTTCTGTAATGACTCCATAACAGTCCAAGGTCTAGACATATCTGCAACAAAGACTACAATGGTGTCTTGCAGCGATTCTGCAGAAACTGCAAACTTCAATAGCCCTTTATGGTATAAGTCTCCATCCAGAATCCAAACGTTACAGCGAGTATGATCTGAAAGGAAAAGGTACAGTTGTAATTCAACAGATGCCCACTTTTTGCTTTGCTAGTCTATCAGTAAATAGATGAGTGCATTAGTGTTAAATGAAAGACCAAAGCCCAGCTACCAGCAGATCTTGCCTGTTTATTTTTAACACAGGTGCATATGTAAATACCTACATTACTTGGTAGATGCTTTCATTTAACAGATTTTTTTCTTGGTTCAGAATCTTTTCATTTAAAAAATAATTTCTGTTCTTTAGCTTTTACTAAGGACAGCTGACACAACAGGTTTTAGATACTGCACAGCATTCCTGAATTTGAAATATGTATATTCCAAGTAAAACCAGAATACATGTGACACATATGTAATTCCAAGTTCAAAAGGGGGTGGTTATAGCTGAGTCCAGCAAGGAAGCCTTAGGTGTCCCTCAGACACATAAGCTGCTTTAACATACTAAAGACATCTCACAGCAGAAATAAGCTGCAAACAAGATGCAAGCAATAAGCAGCTTAAGTTTCTAGCACAGGAGTAGGAGGAGCAAACACAGGATAAACTTACTTTAAAGTTGTGCTACCTGCTCTTAATTCACACTGACATAACATTGGCTCCTACTTGCAGGCGCCTTACAGAATCAGTACTGGACAAAAGATCTGGTTTTTTAGTTTTTGTGTTTCTCCCCCCCAGTGTTTTGATAGTGACTGGACATTTTTTGTTGAAATGCAAGGGGAGGGGGGCAGAAATCAGCTGGGACAGACAGCTCGCATGAGAAGTTTAACCCCAAACATGAACTTTGGCAAGAATATAAGAAACTGAAAAAGGAGCATCATCCAGGAATGATGTATCAGATACTCTGAACAACCAATTGTGTCCAAAAAGAAAAAAAAAAGTAAGTAAGTACATTATCCTCAGAACTTCCTCCTAAAAAGAACAACTCCACTTGTTTCTATCTTCTAGACTCTTCCTAGTACTTCTTCCAAAGTATTCCCTATTCTACTACAGCTGTCCAGAGGGAACAGTGGGTCTCCATAGGTATTACATGCAAGATACGTGAATTCTGAAATACATGGATCAGCAAACCAATCACTACAGAGCCCAGATTTTCAAAACAGCTACTGAGCTTCTGTTGTGGTTTAACCCCAGTCGGCAACTAAGCACCACATAGCCGCTCGCTCACTGCCCCCCCCAACCCCCCAGTAGGATGGGTTGAGGTAAGAACAGTTTAATACTTGAAATAAAATAATAATAATAACAACAACAAATTGTAATAAAGAGGAAAACAAGAGAAAAAGAGAGGAACAAAACCCAGGCAAAACAAGTGATGTTCACCACCTGCTGACCAATACCCAGCCTGTCCCTGAGCAGCAATCGCTGCCCCCCGGCCAACTATCCCCAGTTTATATACTGAGCATGACATCATTTGGCATGGAATATCTCTTTGGTCAGTTTGGGTCAGCTGTCCTGGCTGTGCCCCCTCCCAGCTTCTTGTACACCTGGCAGAGCATGGGACACTGAAAAGTCCTTGAGTGTGAGCACTACTTAGCAACAACTAAAACATCAGTGTGTTATCAACATTATTCTCATACTCATAAATCCAAACCACAGCACTATACCAGCTACTAGGAAGAAAATTAACTCTATCCCAGCCAAAACCAGGACAGCTTCATAATTACTCTGCCTCACTATATTTCCCTGCCCTGTGCTCCAAATCTTTTAACTTCACAAAATAAATCCAGTTGCTGTGGCTATCGTAACTTTACTCTGAGAAAGAATCCATCAGGATTAAAAACACTGGCTTTAGAAAAAGGCAAAAACTTGACTAAGGAAATTGCAAGGAGAAAAGAGTACAGAGATACACATACTACCCTTCTAATCAGGTCTTGGATAAAATTACTGAACAGCCAAGTTACAGACAGATTACATCAAGATGCTATACGTGGGCAGTCTTCATTTGGCATTTGTTATGCTCCTACTTAAGTACTGTTAGGCTGTCATAAGACATTCAAACATCAGTCATCACACAAATAGACCAACAGTTATGCTTTTAACTTAAAGATCTTCCTTCTTCCAACTGTGCATCTCAGATCTATCCTTTGCAGTAAACAGTTACGGTAATTGTTATGTATCTAAGAAATGCACCTTTGCGTATTCATCATTTCCCCCCCCCTCTCCCCACCACATAGGAAACTGTTTCAGTGATATCACACAGGATTCTCACAGCACTGGGTGTATGACTCTAAAGCTATCGGAAGACCTCTAAGGACAGAGGCAAAGTCTGGTAAAAGTTTGGAAAAACAAAAAGGAAGCTAGGACATAAGGTGAACGCATTTACTATTGCACAACAGTAAATGAAACATCAACGGAGGACTCCATTATCCTCTGCATTCCAGAAGCATCCTTTGTATATTCCCAAAAGCAGAAATCTATCAGTGAATAAAAACGCTGCGAGCGTTCTACGAGCGAAAGGTTATTAATAGACATTAACTACATCTATGCACAACTGTCTCCTGAAGCAAATACAAAAGTTTTAAAAACCTAACTTAAGTCTACCTATAGTCTATGGAAGTTTAAAACTCTCATCAGCACTTTCATAGTTTCTCCTGTGGCGAGTGCTTTGATCACAGAAAAGACTTTCACACCTTAGGAAGTCACAAAAATCAATAAATATCCAAATTCACTGCTTCTAAGTCACTTTTCTAAGCCAATATCTAAAGGTTACAAAGGTTTTGTTTGCTAAACACCTTTGTCCTACTTAAGGATTTAGTTTCTGCTTAACATCTAGAATACAGGCTGGAACTAGAATAGAGGTGGAACTAGAATGCATTTGCAACTATCACTCAAATGAAATCCATCTGCTAGGAAGACTGGAAGCCTAGCACTCACTCACATTAAAATGTACTTTTTTTAAAAAAAATAACATTGCAAGAAAATGAAAGGTTTTCCTCCTTTCTTACAGTAAAGAGGTATGACTTGTGATCTACATTTGCTACAAATATAAAACGCACTTAAAAATACCGTACTGGTTGTTCACCAGTACATTTGGCAAGGACTCGATGGCAAATTCAACTCTGTCAGCACTACATCAAGCTCCTAGTTAGTCATATGATGTGAATGTTAACTGGACCTTTCATAGTGGCTATGACATGAGACACCAAAACAGAACAAAAAATTACCAGATCCTGTTGGAAAAACAGGTGCTACTTATTAAGGACTATTAAAATAGCTGCTAAAAATACATCTCTAAATCCTGTCAATATTTCATTATCCCCTTAGCCATGAAAAGGATTTTCCAGCTTTGATGAATTTTACTGCAGAGTTGATTCTGTGAACTGCAACTACATCTCCTGCATTTATTCAAAAGGTATCAGTGGTAATTAGATATCCCTTGTCCAAGCTGTGAAGAGAAGCAAAACAGGGAAAAATAATTTTCAAGAGAACTACTTCAAAGATGTTGACAAAAAAAACATTTTTCCCATTAGAAACCAGTGTACCAGCAGCACTTAGCTCAATCTGGAACAACCAGTTCAACTGGAATAAGCATATGACATGACTGAGGCCAGTCCAAACCTGAGGCAAAAAACGAAGACTACTCGATTTTGTTACAAGTAGGAACACAACAACAGAATGGCTCTACTTCATTGACATGTTTGGCACAGTCAGGACAACTGTATTGCATTTGTAATCTGAGGCAGTTCAACTGAAAGTTCTCTATGGTGTTTATAATTACCAGTTAACGCATACAGTATCGCTACAAAACCAATGTGGTTTGTCTCACTGTCTTGCTGTAAGCCCTCACTTTAACTCTGCCCCATCACTGCAAGAAGCTCTGAAAGCTACTCTAGAAATACATATCCTTTAACAAAATTGCGCAGAGCCTCTCTTCTACCTCCTACGAATTAAGATTTTCAGCTCTCAAAAGCAGACTAACAAGCATAGACACAAAACATCTGCTCATCCCAAAGAAAGGCAAAAATTTAAAACCGGCCACACTCCCTGAGAAATTCCACTAACAAAGGACTCTAGGGCCTGAACTCCAAGGTCGTTTAATATTTGGAGTTAGCTTTACAGCTAGTGCTATAAGTGCTTTCATCCAGATGAACTACAGTGTCATGTATACAGAAGAAGCCATATGCTCCAAGGATATTGTACCTGGGGCTAACGATCTAGGAGAATCCTCCCTCTCTCAGGATTGCTTCTCAGGCATCCCCGAACCTCTTCTTGAACAAATGCCTTAGCCTAGGCAGAATTTGGGACAGTACCCTAGGAAGGAGATTTTTCAGGTAGAGGTTCAGTAGTGGACTTATTCTAAGTTATCCTGAGACCTAGGGACCAAAGTACTGCGTGTTACATTGAACGACTAACATCTAACAGAACTGAACCAGCTAATTACCAACACAGTGGTGATGTGTATCTTGCCATCCAAACTAGGTATCAGCCACTGCCAAGAAACAAGCAGATGACAGTGAAAACCAAAAAGTTAGTGGGCACCTGTATTAGCCACAGGGGTTCTTCAAAGAAGAGGTGTGTTCTATGCATTTGTTTAGCTTTCCTATTAAAAAAAAAAAAAAATTAATCACTGACCTAATCTTTAGGGGAAAACACAAAAGAAACTTCAAACTAAGATATGCACCTAGCAATCTGGAGTAATTCTAGTTCAAATGTAGAAGGAGACAGATTCAAATATCGCTTGAAGAGGAAGAGGGGGGATAGGAAGCAACACCGAAGATTTTCCTTAAGATTTCCAAAGGGAGGTAGGAGGTAGATAATGACTCAGCACTATGACCAAAATATTTCTCCTGGACAGAAAAAACTCTCTGAAACGAAGAAGAAAAAGGCAAAGAGAGCAAAGAAATCTTCCAGCACCTTGAAAGAACTTGAAAAGATCTTCTCACTCCACTACAGAGTTTCAGTTACCAGTGTTGATCTGACACCCCTGGAAATCCTTGTGCTTTGCTGGTCTTGAATAGGTTGGGGTATAATAAAAAGTAGATACCCTCAAAAATGAATATGTGATAGTAAGCTCCTGAATGCCTATCCTCAGTTTCTTTATGGCTTCCAAGAATTGTGGGTCAATTACAAAGGCTTTGTTTCTAAATCTGTATCTGAGCACACACACCTCTATAGCACACAAAGAGTTTAAAGAAACAAACCCAAACCTGTCCTAGAGAAAGAAGAGTGTTATCTTTGCCTGCTGGGAGGTCCTGACCCACTTTGCTATTTATTTTGCTTGCTGATGACACTAATGAGACAGAAAGGAAAAAGGCATGCATTATTAGATCCTAACACATCCATTAAAGGAATGCATGAAGACCTAAATTCGCCAGCTGAGTCTGGTAGTCAAAAAGGTCTCTTTCTTTGCCGCTAGTGCTGCCTGAGTTCTTGTGACAGGCTTCTCCCAATCACCTCAAATACTTATCACTTCCAGATACTCAGGAATAGCCCCAAAATATTTCCAAAGTAGGGACCTACTCAAGGTTTGATAGACAGCACCAGAAAAAATAGCACACCAAACGTTTTTCTATTTCAAATACTATCTCCTTTGATATTGCAAGAAGCCTGATGTCACAGGCTGTCTTAAGACTCCTAATCGTAGGGGTTTTTTCCCCCAAAGTATTTATGCAGTACTAAAGAAGATTGTGCATGGTGAGAAAGCCCTTACACCAAGAACCTCAAGAAGCCAAGAATGGCTCAGCACTTAAAATTACAGCACAAAAGATTTTTAGGAACTGCAAGATTAGGTGGCCACTGAAGACAAGGCAACGTACTCATCCGTTAATTGTGCTTAACTTAGTATCCAAAGACAGTTTATTACCACGCGAGCGCAGGACAAATCTCCATAACAACCGGCCACATATGGTACTTAATCACTCGTGCAAGCTACATTTCCATTTCCAAAACACCATTATAGGATCTTCCTAGTTCATTTGTTTTCAGGAACATGGATGAACCACCATCATTGCTTCCCTCTTATGAACTGAAAACTCAGAAGGAAGTCATGGACAGGAAGACTGTCACTCCCTGTTTTTGAAGAAGGAAACTAACACAAAGAGGTCCAGCAGTTTGCCCAAAATGAGACAAACAGAGGCAGATTTAGGAGCAAGGTTAACGAACTCACTCCCCATCTCTTCCTGCCCCTAACCTTCCTAAAAATAGGAATATTCGCATCATTAGACCTGCTTATAAACAGCCTCATGTCGTCATCCCCCTGCCGTATAGTAGAGAAGAGCAATCATCAACAGCAACAAAGAGAAAGACACGGGGCAAAGAGACAAGCTCCAATTTGACAAAACGAAATACTAATTCTGACTTTAAGTTCTGTTCTTCACTCATTCAACTCTAACAAAACATCTCAGTTATAGTTAACCAAAATTCCGCACACAGCCCCCACAAGGAACACAAATCCCACGCCCAGAAACCCATACTGAGAATTAAATTCTCATGGATGTATCACTTACTTTCTATAGGTATCAAGTAGTCACACCAAATGACTGCTAGTAAATCAACATCAGCAAATATATCTACTCTAAAAGTAAATGGATCCTGAGAGCTGCTCAAGTGTACTTTTTGCTGATACACAGGCCAAGCTGTAAGAAGGGTAAGAGGGAGAATGTACACTGCATGTAAAATGCATTTCACTTTTAAGAAATTCATATAGCTTCTAAAACATAAAGAACAATGCTGGAACCAGCTACTTCGGCGTAACCCAAAATACACTGATGAAACCACAGTTATAAAAAAAGCATGTCAGCTACTTAATTACAGTCATGTCAGCTACTTAATTACAGTAAAGAGATTACATATAAAATGAACTTACCATCTCTGTCTTCATCGTGAATATTTAGATACAAGTATTCCAGCCCTCTTCCTTTCTTGCCATGCTCTGCTCCTTGTATTTTAGCCATAAGCGTGGTTTTACCTGAACCATCATCACCTGCCAGTAAGTTTTTACAGGAAAAAAAGCCACTTTCAGAATTAATTTTAACTTTGTAGAAAAAGTTTTTCAAAACACGTTTAAGGAATCAGAAGTATCCTTGTACATTTTTGGACTGTACTTATTTGTTGTTTTCTTTCAATTATTCCAGCTAAATCCAATGGCTTATACCATGACAATAAGAACGAAGAATTTATATTCTGTGTTACATTCCATTTGTTTAAATATGTTATATATCTAACAACGTAAACTAAAGAGAAAGTAAATCTATCAGCCTGAAGACAAAATTACTGTATATTACATAACCTAATATTAACAAATTGATGTGTCAGTTCGTCCACATCATTGTTTTAAATATGCTTTGTTTCTACAAAAAAAACCCAATCACCCAACTGCTTGCAAACTACTTACCAAAAACAAGAATATTCTTGCCCGATGGCAATTTAGATCTTGACCGGGTAGAAACCTCACTCAGTATTGAGGACCTAGAAAAACAGCATCGTTCTTGTTAGGCTGACATGCACACGGATGCGCGCACACATGCATGCACACATACAAACACAACCCACGCGTTGCCCATTTGACAGCACCGATGAGCTCAGCAGATCTGCACGGACCAATCCAGTTACATTCATTCTATTTACAAACTAGAGATGATGTTACAGTTAAAGATTTAAGTTCATTTTAAAAGACCAAAAGCATGCCACCTTTTTGAGAAAAGAAACGCAATAACATTTTCTTAAGTTTTTCTCCTGTATAAGAGATCACATTACTGCAAAACATTACTTTCCAACTGATGACTAACTCTTCCCACAATCCATCACTGCATTTTATACACGATTTTTTCTGCCATTATTAGCATTTTTTAAAGCGTTTCTCAGAGGTAAGCGACGGGAAAACAAGAGATCGAGTCCCCTGGAGCCTATCCCGCAGACCTCCCGCAGAGCCGAATCTCCCGGGCTCCGCACACCTGCTCTCCCTCATCCTCGCAGCAGCGATGCTGCCCTCATTCACGCGGTGCGGGGCTCCCCTCAGGCACCCCACGAGCTCCTTCAGAGCCGGGAAGAACTGCATTCCTCACCGTCCCTGGCGCCTCGGCCGC